GAGTCCGTCCTGTGGCACGTCTGAAGGGGGAGGAGGAGGAGGAGGTGGTGGCCACGCCTTGGGGGTCTCATCTGGCTAATTCATTAGTTAGTTTATGGACTTCACGCAACCACTGGCGAGAGTGTCATGATATTGTGTGTTTGGACACTATGGTTGTGCACTAAACAATGCAACATAATTAAGGGAAGAGATTACTTTTTTGTAACTGTAGATTTGTCTTTCCTTATAAATAGGTTACACCCTGTTTATAAATTTGCCCAGCTTATGAACTGGGAAGTCATTTTGCCCAGGTCGTGAAATGCCTCCTAAACTAACCTAAACCAACCCAATCCAACGTAACTTCATCTATTTAACCCAATAAATAGAGGGACTTTGTCAAGGAAAACTATTAACAATGAAAATTATTGCCATAGAAGGAAATCATATATCGACAAACGATAGAGTAGTTTATGGTAGAAAATTGCCAAAATTATTGAAAGGGTCATGGTGGAAATGGAAGAAAGTCATCAAACAACATAAACTTGTTCTCGTGGAAGTTGCCATCAGGACTCGTTGTAAAATTCATAGCAATGCTCAAAGTTCTCACAAACACATGTTGCAGAGGCACAGAAGCAGAAAGAATCATATAAACACACCGGCAGAATCGTTACCCCTCACAGCGTTAATAAGTCATAATGTAGCCTCGCAGCAATACCTAGGAGGTAATTGCTATACAAATGACTCCTGAAACATGATTTTAAAAGAAACATAAATAAATGATGGCTTTAATTCAGTATAGCTGGGCCTTACCGTCTTCAGATTACCAGTCAACGCAACTCAAGGACGGTAATTGTTATAATAGATACTCGAAGCTTTAGCTATAACAACAACGACAAGATGGTGGTAACAGCTGGGGTGTGGACCGTCTTGTAGCCATAGCAACTCTACACATTGTGTACAAAACATTCCCTCGTCACCTCCAGTGGTCGGCCTAAGCTACCCCTCCCCACTCCTCCCCTCCCCTTTCTCCCTTCCCAACTCTTCCTCTCTTGTGCCTCCTTTTCTCCCCTTCTCACCTTCCCCTTTCCTGTGTCTCCTTTTCTCCCTTTCTGCATCTCCTTTCCCTTCCTTCCTATCTCATCTCTTCCTGCTCCTCATTTGCTCCCCATCCCACTTCCTCCCTTCCTGCGTCTTCTTCTCTCCCTTCCTGCATCTCCCTCCCTTCCCATCTCCCCTAATGTACCTCTTCCTACCACCCTGTTCCTCTTACCCTCCTTCTCTCTTCCAATTTTCTTCTCTCTTTTCAATCCTGCTCTTTTTTCCCATAACGTTTTCATTCTTAATTTCCTACCTCTTTCTCCCTTTCTTCACTTCTTTATATTTATCTTATCAAGAACTTTCTCTTTTTATCTATCCTATTTTCCTATTTTCCCACCTAACGTCCTTTTGTTCTCTCCCATTCCTTTTCAACTTCCTTCTTCTTCTTCCTTTACCCTTTTTTACATGGTCCCCTCATCTTTTCCTGAACTGCTTTCTACTCATTTCCTCCCTCGCCCTCCTTTCTTTATATCCCCCTTTCCTCCTTCTATCCCCCTCGTTATCTTTCCCTTTATCTTCAACCTTCTTCTTTTCTATCTTCCCTTTTATATGCTTCCTTCCATTTCTCCTCCCTCCCCCTTCTCTTTTATGTATCCCTCTTTCCTCCTTCCATCCCCCTCGTTATCTTTCCCCTTACCTCCTCTCTCTCCCTTTCTCTTCCCTTCCTTTTACCATTTCCTCCTCTCCCTTATCCTCACTCTTCCATTACCTCCTTTCAAACAAGCCACAGGGGCTGTTAGCTCGTTAAGAAGGGAGGAGGGGGGAGCACCTGCAGTTCATGGTGTGGGCGGGTCATGGGTAGGGTGTGGGGCGGGAGATGGGCGGTGGGTGGGTGGGGGTGTATGGGGATGGTGGAAGAAGGGCGGAGGATGTGGGCGGCGGGCGGTCATTCGTCTGTTATCATTTAATTAAGTAGGGCGTCTGTTGCCAAGGCTTTTCCCTCGTCGGGGGATCAACAGACTACATGAGGCATGGCGTTGCACGTAGGGGTTGAGAGGTGAAAGAAGGGGGAGGAGGAGGAGTAGGGGAGAAAGAGGAAGAGGGAGGAAGAAGGAAGATTAGGGATGGGGGAATATATATAGGAGGAGTAAAGAGGATGTATAAGGAATATTAAGGAGGAGGAAGAGGAAGGAGGAGTAAGCAGGAAGAAGAAGGTATAAGAAAGGGAAAGAGGAAGTGGTAGAAGGAGTAAGGAGGAGGTAAAACGAAGATTAGCGAGAAGGAAGAGGAAGGAAAATAGGGAGAGGAGTGGAAGAAGGGTAAGAGGAAGAAGTAGAAGAAAATTTAGGGAAGATTAAAAAGGAGGAGGAGTGTAGAGAGAAGAGGGTGGAAGAAACAGTAGGAGGAAGAAGATAGAAGAGGGGAGCGAGAAGAAGAAACAGAAGGGTGATAAAATGAAAGAGAGGAAATAGAGTAGGAGAAGCATAGGGAAGTGGGGAAGAGAGAGAGAGAGAAAGAGAGAGAGACGAGGACATGGCAAAGGAAAGGAGAAATAGCGTGAAAGAAGGAGGAGAAGAAATAAGTATGAGAACGTGAAGTAAAAGAGAGATAGATACAGAATGATAAAGATAAAAATAAGAGATAAAGAATGTGAATATAAGAAGACGATAACTATAGAAAATAAAATATATGGATATGAGGAAATGAGAATTAATAAAAGATATATATATAATATTTCAAAGACACAGAGAAGAAAAGTAATAATATTTGTAAAGATTAATTTTCCTTTCTTCTTTTCATCTCTTTTTATTTATTTCTCATTATATAATTCAAACATCCTCATCATCATCTTTCTCTACATTACTCCTTATTTATCATTTTTCTCCATCCAAACGTCAGTATTTTATCAACAGTCTCTACCTATTATCTATATCTACCTCTTACCCATTAATTAATATCTATATATTTATCTATCTACCTACCTACCTCATCCATCTACCACAATCTATCAACAACTATTTATCTACTCCCCTCCGTCTATTACCTTTCTATCTTTTCTTCTCTCACCTCTTGCTGTATCTGACCTCTTATGTCTTCCCGTCTCTCACCTCTCCTGCTTCCCCATCTCTCACCTCTTCCCGTATCTTACCTCCTCCCATCTTCCGGTCTCTCACCTCTTATTACTTACCGTCTCTCACCTCTCCCCGTCTCTCACCTCTTTTGTCTTCCCGTCTCTCACCTCTTATGTCTTACCGTCTCTCACTTCCCCCTCTCTCACCCCTCCCCTAACAGCAGGAAGGTAGACATATCTTCCAATAAAACACTTGTCCATGAACCTCTAGACACAACAGCCATAATACATCACAAGCACTGACACTCTAATCAAATGATACACAGGCCAGTCCTATCATCAGTGACGTTGCGACTGGATTTTCGTGATCATTTTCTGACAAACACTGATAATGCTTTTTTTTTTTTTAGGGGGTGGGTCTGTCTGTCTGTCTGTGTTTTTGTCTGTCTGTCTGTCTGTCTGTCTTTATGTCTGTCTCTGCCTTTGTCCTGTCTCTCTCAGTTTATGAAGTGGATAATATTACTGAAACGAACTACACCACTTGTATAGTTGAAACGAAGTACCACGTTACCCGAGACCCCTCATAATCAAGATGAATTATGGAAATTAGTCCAATTCGACATCTAACGTGGCCGGTGTCAGACTTAATGAAGGAAACACCTGTTCTTAATGACACTTGCAGGCTCCCAATGTTTTGCAGGTGTCACAACACTATGTATGTGTACCTGGGTTGTAACATATGCTTCGGTTGATCCCGTCTATACGTGTGTGTGTGTGTGTGTGTGTGCGTGCGTGTGTGTGTGTGTGTGTGTGTGTGTGTGTGTGTGTGTGTGTGTGTGTGTGTGTGTGTGTGTGTGTGTGTGTGTGTGTGTGTGTGTGTACTATGCATATATGTACTCGTATCTTTCTCTCTCTCAACCTGCTGCTCTTCCACTTTAAGATAAACATAGGTAATATTTGCACGTACTGTAGGGGGCGGCAGTATGGGCTGCACCACGAATCACTGAAATACTATAGACAGAAGAACCAACAAGTACTCTACTCACTGGGTGTTGCAAGGCAGTCATTCCCTCAGACAGAGCTTAGGAGGGGACGCGAGAGAGGGAGGGTGGTGAGCAACTAAGGACGGAGATGTGGGGTTAAGAACTGGAGGAAGAGAAACGGCAGGAAGAATAATTGGAGGAAGAGAGGAATTGTAGAAAGACGTATTGGCTGAAGCGTTTTTTTTTCGTCTGTTTTTTGAGGTTAAAGAAATGTAAACAGTGTGTCCTAAGCTTTGATATGAGATTAATAGATAAAAATCATAATAAAGACGATATGATATGTGAGAATATGACGTATAATTGACTTGTAAACAGACAGAAGTAATTCGTAGGAAAACTTTAAAAAATAATTTCTCCTTCAATATTTTTTTTTAAACTTTGGAGTATTAAGTAACCACGATACAGAAATGGAATTATTTTCTGTAGGTAAGTAAACATTGATAAATAAATTCCTAAATATTTCTTTTTCCCATGTAAAAAAAAGTCAGAAAAAACAGAGCAAAAAAATCATAAAAAATAAAACTGCTTTAGATAAGTGTTTCACGTAAAAAAAAAAAAAATCATTGTAACTGAATTATATAACACACGTGAAAATTTGGGATACTCATTGATCCAAACTTAAAAGCCGATAAAAAGCCATAAAAATAATTAATCTGAATAAAAATAAATAATCACTTCACTCAAACTATAGAAACAACAATAAAAAAAAACTGTATAGAATTTCAGGAATGGTTAAAATAAAATCCAGAAAGAAAATAAAAATAAAAATAAATCAAATGGTAAATGTAGAGATATTAAGAGGTAAAAAAACACATTGAGGTGTGTTTAAGAGTTGTCTGGCCTACAAGGGTTCGTCATGTTAAACTCACGGTCTGAAACAAAAAGAAACAGTATTTAAGATAATAGTTTACTTCATGGACTCCTTACACCCACAAGACAACGTCGAATTTTTATTTTACTTTTTTTTTTTTTTTTTACATTCCAAGACTGTTGTATTCAAGGTGGAAGTAGATAATAATGAACACTGAGAAAATGTTATATTACACACACAACATTGCAAAATATAATGAAAATACCAATATCAATAACTATGGGGGAAATATATTAGATTCACAACATCGCAAAATATAATGAGATAGTCGGTGTCAATGGTGATACTTCAGGTGATATATTTAACATGAGGATCAATAAAATTTGAAAGAATACATGACGTTAACACATATGATCCTTTTGAGTTAATAGCAATAACTCATTAAACTGATTACATGGTAGAAGTTGTACAGTAATAATAATTAATGTCAGTGATAATATTTTTTCCCGTGTGTAACATTAAGAACTACAAATACTTTACGCATGAAATTATTTTAATGTCCAGATCCTTTAATTTTTCTAAAAGATGTATAAGTAGATTGATAACATGGCAAAAATAATGAGATTGATTAATGTTATTTTTTATATATCGGTACAGAAAATTCAGATATATGACATAAATTGTAAATATATCTTGTTTATGAAGGAATGAGTTTGGAATAATCCCTCATTGACTTTCATATCAACTTGGGGGTTTAAATATTTATAATATTGCCTAAATAATAGGTGATATTTAGGTAATGTTAAACTCTGCTTAATTATATAATATTCATTTAGGGAATCAATGGGTAACTATTCTTAAGAAAGAAGTAGTAAAGGGGTGTATTGGTAAAAGGCAAAAATGAATACTAACTTACAGTTTGTGGGCTAAATAGTATGAAAGAGAGAGACAGACAGACAAACAGACACAGATAGACACAGACAGACAGATAGACAGACAGACACAGATAGACACAGACAGACAGACAGATGAGAACACAGCCAGACAAATTCACATAGATAAGAGTGAGGATGAAAGAAAAATGAATACAGATAAGAAATAGAGACAGAGAAAGAGAAAGAGAAAATCTGGCGACACACATGCAGACAGACAAACAGAAACAACAGACAGAGACAGAGAGACAGAAAGGACAAAGACACCAACAGACAGACAGACAGACAGAAACTTCATCAGGCAACACTTCAGCCTGACTCTGCCTATACAGCACATGGGGGGAGGCAGGGCGGGACGAGTCTTCACCAGGGACAGATAAAGACCCATGAACGCATACATTAATGGGGAAACAATAGTGGGGCTCAACACGGAGGAGGGGAGAGACAAAAACTGAGAGATATCTGGGTCATTTTTCTTCTTCGGTGATTAACGAGAGTAAAGTTGAAATGCGATTTACTTGGGAATCTCTAAGGTGATGAGTTATATTAGTGTGGTTGATGGCTTGTTGTGTGTATATGTTGTGTGTATATGTGAGTGAACGTGTGTATTGGTTTATGACTCTGTGTATGTGCCGTATTAGTGTGCGTTCCCTTCCCAATCGAATGGGTATAGGTTTGGAATCCCTCATTGTACACTAGACCTTTGTACACCGGGTAAGAGTTGTGTACATTATCGGGTGCGTTTACCGGTGGAGGATCATGTTGCTAGGGGATGGAGTAACCCACTATTGTTGTTGAATACTAAGAGTCAGCTCGACACCTGCCTGACCACCTAGTATCATAACAGGAAAGGGCTTGTATGCATAAAAGAATTATTTATAGATACTGAATGTGCTTCAAAGACATTTTATTCTCTACATTATCTTAAATACATGAATAAACGAAGGTCATTAGGTAGATGGATTTTGTAGAATATATACGAGTAAACGAATGTCTAATCACGTGTACTACTTGTATGGGGGTAATGGCAAGACCTCATATCAGGTAATGGTGGTCATCTGTCATGAAGCAGGTGAGACAACCCCATGTCACATTCAGACCAAGTCAGTCATCTTTTTTTGTATAATTATTTTGTGGCTCTACCGTAAGACTGTCAAACCGTTGATGAATAGCCTGTCAACCTTTAGCCTGTCAACCTACAATCTGTCAACAACGCCGGAACTCAACCTGACAGGTAGTGACAGCTGACAAGAGCGGGCGTTCTGACAGTCGCCCCCTTGTACCCCACTTGACAGGTCAGATCTGTTTTGGTACCCCGTCTGATTTTATAAACTTGACAGCTGACCGCAAATTACTCCCAATCGATTTGTTTCCAGATGAGAAATTTACTGATCTAGTGAGAGAGTCAGCTTAGAGGCTACACCCGCTAATGAGCTCAGGTGGGCGAAGCATTAATATGATCGCGGTTTCATCTGGCAAGTCGAAATGAAAAATATATCGGAGAGAGAGAGAGAGAGAGAGAGAGAGAGAGAGAGAGAGAGAGATGTAATCTAAATGAATATCCGGTCTCTAACATGTGTGTTTGAGCGGGGGAGGGGGTGTCTGTCTGTCTGTGCTTATCTACAGTACAAGCACAAGCACTCACAGAAGACACACACACACCAGACACACACACACACACACACACACACACACACACACACACACACACACACAGTCGGAACCAGGTGATACAGGTAGAATTTATTATACAACAAGAGACGACATTATAACGAAGAGGAGGAGGAGGAGGAGGAGGAGGACGGGAGGGTAGGAAGATGGAGATTATCGCTACTGTCGGAACTTTTAATGACTGTCGGGGAGTATGGTGTTGACGTAATTTGTATTAATGGTAGGATGGACATTGTGACAGTCATCTATGTACTAGTGTTTTAATACAGCACTAGATTTCATAACTCTTTGTCTCCACTAGTCTCATACAGTTGTCGGTGTCTCGTAGTTTGATACAGCGGTCATAAAATCCAATAAAAAATATCTAATGAATAATAATTAGCGATTGGAATGTCTAGATAATTTGATTAATTGTTTTCCTTATGTTAATTTTGTTCGTTATGTATCTAATGATTGGAAACAGTAGTCTGAAAACATGATAAAAGTGTTTGTTTACATTGGCTGTGTTGTTTGTAGGGTTTATATCAATATTTGTTTGTTGTGTTTGTTTATGGTTGGATACAGTGGGCTGAAATAATAGGGGGAATATAATTTATGTTGTTGTTGTTTTTTGTATTTCGGTTGACTGTTTATAATGAACTTGGATTGTTCAGAAATATATTGCCAGTCTATATACATTTATATATTTCATCAGGTTTATAATTTACTCTCAAATTAGTTCAAGATACATATCAGCGAAACATATATACAGACATTACTGTTTATCTCCACGGAAGTCTTCGTAAATATACAAGTACATACATAAACATACACACAGATGGCAACACGTGTATACACAAAGACATTCACAAGGACACTATCACCAACTCGTTCATCCCTGGTGTAGCGGATGTACACACACAGACACACATACACAGTCAAAAGGACATAGAAGTGTATTATGATTAATGCAAGACGATTTGTGCCAATCATTAGCTTCATAATCTCTCATGACGTCAAACAATCAGTCCTAATTAATGATCTGAAAGTGGACTAATGACACGACGTTAACAGCTCACAGCCAAAGACTTATTAGGGAGAGTGAGTATCATCAAGGCTAATTAGTGACAGTTGCCGCCTCAGCCCGTATTACCGCCAGGGTCTATCACTCACGCCTCTTGTTTTACATGCTGGGAAATCATGTTCGGGTGATTTAGCGGTAAACCTTCAATCAATCTTCATTATATTTGCATATACTTTCAACCCATATTGGGATATATGTATATAGAGGTAGATATATTTATATAGGTAGAGTTAGAAGGATATATCTATGACAAAGAACACCATTATGGGGGAAAAATCTTTGTGTTGCCATGTGCCGTGTGTCACTTAATACACGGTGAATATGTCAGAGGTCGGTATCTGGCCTGGTATCTGTGTCATGTGCTGTTGTGGGAGACGGATGTCATGCATTATTCCGCTGCCACTCGGTGATAAGCGAACTTGCATCATTTTTCTCTAAAGCCACAAGAGAGAGAGAGAGAGGGAGTGTGACCAAGGAAGACTGGCAATCCACTTCCACCGAATCGTTTATAAATACAAGGTGCGAGCCTCTAGTCTGTTGCCATAATCGGCTCACTACTCTTCGTTTTCTCTAAGTTGGTGGTGAGAACAGCTGGGACCACCGTGTCTCGCCATGACGGACTGAGGGAAAACTTAATTAATCTCCCTCCACGTTTTTGTTTTTTGCATCCCATCAGATCAAAGGCAACTTACTTCATACCAACTCTGTGACGTAATGTTTGTGTCTTTGTTCACGAGAAAGAGACTGATTATCAGGGGAGACAGTTAGCAACCGAGAGCTTCAACACGGAGAAAGAGCCTGGAGTGAACGGCAGCGTGGTGGTATAGATATACGTCTGTACCAGGTGCTGCCGAGTACTGAGTATCATACTGAACACCTTAATTTATATTCAGGAACATAAATAACACTTTTATTAATGTGTCGACCTAGTTCTGAGGAACTATACAACGATATTAATTTTACAGATTGTATGTATGTATGTATGTGGTGTAATGGTCAGCATACTCGCCTAGCAAGCGAGTGGACAAATTTCTTAACGCCATTTGCCTCTGTCTACCCAGCAATAATTGGGGACCTGGATGTTAATCGATTTGCTGATCGTGTTCTGGGGTAATGATTAGCCAGTGCAGTTGGCGAGTTGTCCGGTCTTCTTGGACTCTTCCTTGACACTGGGTCATGTAATTCGTTAACTTAGGGTGTGGTTGTTGTGTTGGCGACAGCTCCTACACCTTAAACAAATTCACGTCTAGGTGGCCCTTGGGCCGGCCATCCTCGTTAGACGAGGGGCAACCATTATTATGTATGTATGTATGTATGTATAAACAAGTGTTGTGGTATATAATTCGCGACGCTGAACGTGCTCGGTGGTTACCGCGTCTGCTAGAAGCATTAAGG